ACACACACACACACACACACACACACACACACACACACACACACACACTGTATCTTAGCAGTACAGCCAGATTCTGCCCCAGGGTTCAGGTTTTCTTTCTCAAATATGATACGTAAAATATCCATACCAGAATCATCTGGGGTACTCATTTAAAAATAAAAGTTCCTGGGTCACACCCAGACCTGCTGACCAAATTACAGGAGAAGGTCTGGATAATTTACCACTTTAACAGGTGTTTCTGATCAAACTTAAATTTGAGCTCTTTTGGCCTAAAGCTACCTAACACATTCTTCAGTGGGCAGCACAGCTCTGCCCCTTTGGATGTAACCAGCCTCCTGGGGTAAAGTGCAGAAAGGAATAAAGGAGAGAAGGGAATGTTGCCCCTCTACCCTTTCTGGAAGCTGGAGAAAAACAGAAGGGGCAAAGAGAGATGGCTGCCTTTTTTCTACCGAAAGAGCAGCTCCCACTCTTTTATCACTTTGGCCTTAACATTTGTTATTACTTTTAATCCCTTTACCAGAGACCATAGAAATCTCTTTCAGCTCCTGTTAAAGTCGCTTCTTTAAACCTGATTAAACCCTGGTAGCACTTTGTACTTTGGAACAAAGTAAGTTGTGGGAAAGGCAAGCAGAAGCTTCTTCCTGAGAGCTGTTGATCTGTTGATTCTCTAGTGGTTTGCAAGGGAAAATTACTATAAATATATAATCTATTTATAATATAGATTTATATAATATATAAATATCTATTTATAGCAGTTCCCAATTGTAGCAGCAATTATGTACCACAAATACATTTGTAAGTCAGATGTTCAACCCTGAGGGTGCATTTTTCTATAAAAGCAAAGTCATAAATGGTTGCAAGTTTCCTGAGCTAGCCTACATAAGCAGTAGGGCACCTCAAATATTGATCTATGGAAACTAATACATTCTTAGGTTGTGGGTGGGCAGGGGAAGGTAGAACAAGGTTAGCTGTGGGTCTAGGGTATAATATTGAAAACCTCCCAGGGTATATTTCTCAACCCCAAACTGGTTCTCCAGTCTCTTTATTTTCTCTTTGTCCCCCCATAGATTACCTTGCCAACACCCCACCCACTGCCATCACTTGTTGCTTCTTCTGATCATGGTTTCTTCCATTTGCTGACTTACTGAAGAAAAGGTAACTTTTTCCTGCCTTCTTACAAACTCTTTGAAAATTTCTAAGAGTTGGTATCACTAGAGAAACAGGAATATTTGTGTGACCTCCAAATGGCAGCAACTAAGCTTCTCTGCAGACTATTTTCACCAGGGCTGGTGAGGAAAGACACAGACACACAAAGCAGGACTACACTGAACAGGGTAGCCACGGAACCTGTCCCATGCACCCATACTCCTAAGGTTTCCTGCCTCTTTGGTGTTCTCATTGGGCTCCATGTGACACTTCCCCATCCTGATCACAGATGCCCCATAACTAGCCAGTGATTCTGGGTAACCTGGCTCAAAACTCCAAACTGGACTGATCGGTCTGTCTCCTCAGGAATGTGAACTAAGAAACATGGAAGGAATTTGCCAGGAGAGGAAGTTGGAAGAGTCACCTTCACGAGAGCTGTGGTCTGTGCAAGCACAAATAAGGAGGAAGAAGGAACCATGAATCAGTAGAGGATGCTGCTCTGTAGAAAGAGGAGACACTGACTAGTGCAGAGAGCAGATGCAGAGAGAGGCAGAGACACAAGGAGAAGGTGAAAGCGTGAAGCCCATGAAGGGATGACAAGAGCTGCTGGCCCAAGTGCCCTGCAATATATTTTCTTATTTTTTATCTGAGTGGATCACACACCTTGAGACCAAAGAAATCGGACCTTACTCATTCAGAAAAAAAATCACGCTATATTATTCTGGATTTTTTTATCCTCCAAGTAGAAACCCCCAAAAAAGAAAAAAAAAAAACAAAACCCGACATGAGGAAGAGCCTCTTCAAGTGATAAAAATGCTGCTGAGAAAAGTAGATCTCAAACCTGGTGACAGAGTTGACTTTTCCCCACTCACTGCCCCTCCCATTCCAATGTCAGGTCTCACAGTGTTCAGGAATCCTTCCAATTCTGAAATAAATTTTTGTATTATGTGCTAATCATCCTGCCCTTGCTCCCCTACAAGGAAATTCCTGTTGTTCTCATGTTCTACGGAGGTATAACCACAGAAGGCAAACAGAACTCTATTTTTAAAAAAGATAGAATTCATAACCTCAAATAACTGGTGTCTTCTTAAAAAATGAGTTACCTCAGGAAACTAATAACCTGCTCTGACAATGCTCAAGAATGCAATCTTTGCCAAAGACATTCCAGTCATGAACTCCTCTTTGGAAATGGTCCTCTGAATTCATGTGAGCAAAGAAGAAGAAAAGCAGTGTCTATTGTTGGCTGAAAGCTCCGTGCCATCCTGAACCAACTAGTTTATCTTAGCATCTGGACTATTAGATCAAATACTTAGCAGGTGCTCAATGAATGTTTCTTGAGTAGAAATTTGCTATCAGTGTGTTGGTACCTTCCTTTCTCCTCGATGATTAGTTAATTCATTCACCAGACCTGGCTTTGTTCTACTCGACTAGTCAGGATGCACATGGTTGTAAGGTAGAAACCCAAATCGAGCCTACTAAGCAAAGGGAGAGTTTATTGGCTTGTGACACAAGAGTGTTTGTTCCAGGTACATTTGTATCCAGGAGCACAAACCGGGACTTGATCTCTCTCATGATACTGATGTGTACATATGTGCATACATGTGTATCATTGCTCATTTCTCAAATCAGCTTTCTTTTGTGTTGGCTCCATTTTTAGGCAGGCTGTCCCCTTGGAGCAGCAAGATGGTGACCAGCAGTTTCATGCTTCCCTCATAACAGCAGAAGAAATTCTCTTACCCGCAGTTCAAATCCAAATTCCAGAACTGAGTGCTATAGTGGTGTTTTAGTTCAATCACTGTGCCATTCTTGAGTCACATGTCTGTCCCCCTAGAACTAGCGGTCCATTCATCCCATCCAAACAACATAGACCTAGTGGAGAAGGAGGAGTCACCTGAGGTAAATATGGGTTCAGTTACCAAAGTGAAGAAATGTGGCCATTTCCCGAGACATTTTAAAAATATTTGTCCTTAAGAGCCTTCAGAGACAGAATGAACAATAGAAGAAATGCAGTCTCTCCAACAATTAATTGGGGAAAACGAATCAGGGCAGACAAAAAATAACAGATGTCCACTATGAATACATTGTACCATTTCCAAAAATCAAATCCATCCTCAAAGGACAAATTTTGTCACCATTAAGGATGTTCAAAAGAACATTCTCCCCTGAGGGGAAGTCTAAAAGTGTTTCCAGACCAATCACGTCACTAGACTAAGCATACAAGTTCTCTGAGGGCTCGGATGAAGGGGCCAATGCTCATTTATATGTAAGAGTTCTGTCATGTGGAGAAGCCTAATCACTCACATTAATCTGCAGTCACACTTCATACATCTTCCATGCTGATGAATCGTTGCTATGAAAGTGAGTTAGGAAATTTCCTCTGGTCTATTTCTGGTGGGCCCTGGCTTTCATTATCAGTGGCTGCTAACACTACTTAATAGAAAAGTTGATGCCACCAATTGAAAACAGTTGTGGCAAAACTGGACAGTTCATAGCCTGGGTACTTTATTTGCCCTTACTTATGGCTGAGCACCTTACAAGCTTAAGAATGGCTCCACGCCAACCCATGAGTTGTGACATAAAATGATTTTGGAAACAGTTTATTCTGGTAATCCATGGTGTTTCTTCCAGATATTCCCATGTTTCCATGTAGTGATTTGTTAGTTTATGTCTGGAAGTGAACAGGCTGTACTTAGTGCAAGCTGGTTTTTGTAGGGAAATCTTGAAAACACAGGTGACCCAAAGAAATACCAGACCACCTGGAGACTTGAAAAGTCAACCTGAAGCCATAATGAACTAAAACTAAAAAATGGAAGTGATTTTGCCCTTTCAGTTAATCTTCTCTCAAATGACCTGGGAATTTTGTCTTACTTATTTATTCACTGTGGCTACTTAGATTTTTAAAAATGTTTTTTGGGTTTTTTTTGTCCACGAGGCCACCAAAGCAAATAAATCCAAAAGATGGGAGAGGAGAGTTCAATTCTCCTAAAGGTTGAAATGGATTATTTTATCTTAAATGATGACTCATATCAATATTTTTGTTAAAGATGAGGTCACTAACATCGTGAATTAGAGTAAGACAATCATACTGCCTTTCATCCAGAGCACTCTAACTGGGAATATGTTCGCCATGCCTTTTATTTTCTTCATGGAAATCCAAGGACAGTAGCTCCTTGCCCATTTTACCAGTCGTCTGTGAAAAGCCAAGGGGGCTCAGCTCTCACTCTGCTGAAAAGAGGCTTCAGTAGGCTATGTCTCGCCACAAGGGCAACTTCGTCCCAGGCATTGCAGGTGTCACAAACGTTGACAGTAGGATTGGCAGGGTCTAAAATGAACGGCCTAAAACAAAACAAAACACAAAACTATCCACATCTGAACTCAGTTTTGATTTGTTGTATAGTGAGAAAAGGGGATGTCAGAGTTAAAGAAGGAAGGTGGTTAAGAAAAGGACTCTTGGAAGGGTGGAAGCAAGTCCACTGAGGGCTAATACCCATCAGGAGACAGCATCTTGCTTCTGCCCCCCCAACCCCCACCCAACTCCGATGCCCTCTCATTTTTCCTCTTCACCTCTGGAGGCATTTCCTCCCCGCTTTCCTGTCTTCAATGTCCTCCCCATTTGCCATGTGTATCCACATTTGATTCATTCTACTCAAATTACTTGTAATTCACACTTGAGAATTAAAGTTCTTTGAGAAGTAATCAAAGGGAATTGACTTTGAGCTAATTAAGGCCTTCTCATTTACAGTGAATCACAATCAAACTGTCTTTGCTCCAGACTTTTCTTTCTGGATGGCAAACATGCTTCTTCTATCCTAAGAGCATAGAAAAAGATAAATAGTTACCTTGTGTGTTTTTGGTTCACCTTTACAAAAATGGGGAACTTGGGATGGTAGTGTCTGTGCCAAACAACATCAATTTCTGCATATCGAACCAGAAGCTTGAGGACTGCCCTCATTCCCTGCACCAGGCTGAAGAGCAGCGGCTTTCCCGCCAGCTCCCAGATGTGAATGGTGAGGAGCTCCACTGTGTAAGAGGAGGGAAGTCTCCGGAACCTAGACACACAGGATGAAGGGTTGTCTACTTCCCTTACCCCAGAAAATGAAGACAGATTTATTCAGGTAGGAGATAAATTTCAGCCCAATAGACAATTTACAGAAGAAGAAATTCTATTTTCAATCTCATTACATATCAAACAATAATTTTCCACCCCTCAGATTGGCAAAATATAAAGAACTATAATATCCAACATGGGTGAGTTTGTGAGAAAATAGACACTCACAGTCTATTGGTGAGAAGGTAAATTAATACAGTCTTTTTGTAAATTAATACAGTCAACTCTATACAAATTTGGTATGTTCCTTCCCTTTCATCAGCATTTTCCACTCTATTTCTTCTGTAGAGAATGTGGCTAGTCTGACTTGAGCACACAATGAATTTTGAAGACTTATATTTTAGAAAAGGGAAAATATTCATTAATAATTTTTATATTGATTGCATGTTGAAATGATAACATTTTGACATAGTGGGCTAAATATATTATTAAAATTAATTTCATCTATTACATTTTACCCTTCTAGATATTGCTACCAGAATATCTAATACTGCATATGTGGTTTGTATTTGAATCTCACATTTTATTTGTCTTGTATGATTGCACTGTGCTGTAGTCATTAAAAGAAGGTAGATCGCTAAGATCTCTAGGTACAGATATAAAAAGATATAGATTAAATGAAAAACAATTTTCATAGTGATACATAAAGTGCAAACCCATTTGTTCTTTGTTTTTTAAAAACTAAGCATACCTAAAAAACAAATTTGGCAAAATATGTCCTAAATGTTGTTAGGGAGGTGGGAATTTGGGGTAAAGAAGGAAAATTTTTATACATTAATCTTTTAAATTGCAGTTTATGTACATCAGGGAAAAAGAAAATAAAAATTAAAGCTGAGGGTTAAAAACAAACTCATGGGAGAAAAAGTAAACCAAATCAGATAGTTTCAGGATTTCATGTTGGTTGATATCCAAATGTGTATTTTTGTTGCCTCGGCATTCATTAGCCATAGCAATCTCTTTTGAGGATATGTTGCAAAATCAAGCAGTTTTTTCCCTAACAGAATGAAAATATTTTTGTACTATCGCTATTGGTCATTTGTTTTTACTTAAGTAAATAAAATAGGAAAAACTAAAAGTGGACAAAATTTTTTGTCCCAGTAATGAAATAGCACACCAGATTTCAGCTGATCAATAATTCAGTTCTTGCTATACTCCCTTAGGGGTTGACAACAACAAACACCAGACTTCAAATCCATCTCCAATTGAACCAGCTAATACTCCCATGTGCCAAAAGAAAACCATGGTTGAAAACCACTCAAGCAGGAGATGCTCTTCATATTCCATGAGAGTAAATGTAGGGGGGAGAAAGACATTTTACAGCGTGTTTACATGGGTAGTTACATACCTCTGACACATGTCCATACTATCTTATATCCTATTTGAGCCCTTTGACATTGTTTCATTTAACCCTTTCCACATGTTACATGCTCCCAAATTTGTCTTGAATAATATTTCATCATATTTGTGTGCAAGTTTGTTTGCTCTTCAGGAGCATTTATGTTGTTTCTAGTTTTCCTTATCTTAGGCAGCACAATTCTGACCATATTTACATGAATTCCTTTTTTAAATGTGATTTATTTTCTCCAAGGTTGGTCCTCTAGGTATTTCTTAATTCTTTTTCTAAACCTTTATTTTTAGTACTCTTTTTTTATGACATTTTTAATATAAATGGCCTCAACTCTTTTTTTGAAATCAAGTAATAAATAAACATTTTTTTTACTTTTTACTATCACTTTTTTTATATAAGGGAATTACCTTGACAAATGGTTTGAATATTTTAAAATCCTAACACATAATAAATATTTAATACAACATTACCAGATTACTTTCCCAAAATAGAAAACCAATTACCATATCATAACATATGTGATCCAATTTCCCCACAATACCACCCTTTTTTAAGTCTTACAATTATTGTTCTGCTATATTAATAGATAAGTTTCTTTTTCCAGACCTATAAATGCTCTCCATCAAAAAAAAAAAAAAAAGTGTTAGATTTCAAAACCAGGGCTGTCATCTGACCAAGGATCTACTTAGACAAGAAGCTTTATTTCTTTGTTCTTCTATCTTTAATAATAATTTTTACTCAACCAAATGAGAAAAAAACATATAGAATGTGTAGAGATATTTAGATACAGGAGATAATTATACAGAAGTAATACGTGTTTTTGCAAAGTGACTAATATTTTCAATGGTAAACAGAAAAATATACAAAGAATAGAGTGTGGAATTCAGATGAACAAATCAAGAGTATTAGCAACTTTATGCAAAGACAAGACATATTCCTTGTAGAAAGTGCTGTATATAAATATGTTATAGTAAATCCCCTGTCTCTGCTATTTCTGCCAAATGGAGAATTCATTTCTACTTCTTTACCAAAAGTTTATCTTAAAATCCTCAAAGGAGTCACTGAGTCTCCCTTACATCCCTTCATCATAAGTTAGAGCCTGTTCCTACCAAAGGCAAGGGAAGATACAAGAACACGTACCTGCAACTCTTGAGGACCCACCTTCTCTGAAAGACAGCTCTGCCTTTGATAGAACCAGCTACAGAGAAGGAACAATTGAGGCTTCAAAGAGTAAACGTCCCATTCAAATTGTTCTAGTAGTTTCCCTTTCCTTTTTCCTGTGCCTTCCTTCTTTGCACCAATCCATCTGGTTATGCCACTGAATTTTTTTTTCAAAAATTTTATTTATTTATTCATGAGAGAGAGAGAGAGGCAGAGGGAGAAGCAGGCTCCCAAGGAGCAGGGAGCCCAATGCGGGACTTGGTCCCAGGACCCTGGGATCATGACCTGAGCCAAAGGCAGACGCTTAACCATCTGAGCCACCCAGGCGCCCTGGCCACTGAATATTTTTGTTTCTGTTCTTTGGTTCCTACCAAACCATTATGTTGTTTTGAAATAATGTAATACAGATGTTCCATATTCTGCACAGCCCTTTCTCTCTCTTTCTCTCTCCACATGTTCCCTCTCCTCTGCCTACCAAGGAAAGAGGTAGGGCCTGGAAGTGTAAAAGAAAGGAACATGAAAAGAGGAAGGCTCACTTGGTGCCCGTGTGCTGGTACATACTTATTTTCCTCCGTGGACCTGGCAAATGATGTCTTGAACCAGTGTATCATTAAACGAGTGAGCTCCTTCACCCTTGCCACAGACGCCTTGACAAAATCCACTTGGTATGGCAAGAGGGCCAAGGCACACAGCTGCGCCATGTCCCTGTCATCACAGAGGTACAGTTTGCGGTAAAGGTGAAGTTTTAAACCTGTTCACACCAAGGAACAAAGACTATTGTGAGTATTTGCTCCCTCCTCTCCTTTCCTGGTTTCCCCTGATACAAATGAGCTATATTACTCTGATTAATTAGACCTTGGTCATTCAAAACCACAGTTTTTTTTTCTTTTTAGGAATGTTGTTCTAGTTTATCCAAGTCATTCAAAGAGAAAGCTTCAACATCACGATGCCGGAGCAGTTCAAATGAGCAAACTCTGGTACGAGCAACTCTGATGAGGCTGATTTTCTGTCTATTTGCAGAGGAAGTTTATTTCCCAGAAGCATATTTCATTACCTTATGCAAATATCATCTACAATAAGCTAAATGTCATCAGGCTCTCTCAACAATAACCTATATAATCCCCCTTGTTTAATATCTAAATTGTCCCTATTTGTATACATACTTGCAGAAGAGATTCTACTACCTGGACTCTTGAGGGAATTTATTATATTTATAAAGGTAGAGATGACTTTAAAGATGCATTTAAGTCAAATTTAAAACAAATAATCCATTTCAGTTAGTGATAGACTAAAGAGGGAGGAAAACTAGATTAAATGGCAAGAATGATCAAATAATCATCTGTAGCTTAATACTACAACTCAGGTTGTGCTTATTCTACTTGTATGAATATAAATGTTTAGTATCTTTGATCGTAATCTATTCAAATTTTCCCAATTCAACACAATTAGAAGTTCTAATATGAATTTATTTTGGACAGCCCTTATATTTACCTATCCTTCTGCCCGACTAAATTGTCACACAATGACACGCTTGTTAATTGTGGCAAATTTCGAATCTACAGTACATATATTAAAGTTAACTCGGGCCAGGAATTTTATTTTACTTATAAAATACATTTTTACAAAAATAATACTTATATGCCTTGATCTGGATTCCTAATTTCAAGCATATCTGTACAGTCTTTTCATACTGGTCCAGCTGTTGAGGGACAAATCAGAGATATAATAGTAGGTTGATTATCAACAGATTAGAGAGTAAAATCAAATTCCATAAGTGAATAGAGTTATATATGGCGAATATTATAACAAACATATTCTAGTCCCAAACTTCCCAAGCAACAATTATTAGAACTATTTTAAAAAAAAAAACAAAGACCTTTCAGTTTTACTGGGAGGCTCTCTGCCTTTCTTAGCAATCAGACTCGGACAGAAACTCAGATTTATGATGATAAAAATAAAAGAAACAATAATTTAACTCAAATTTTGGTATTCAGTAGGTATGTCAGGTATTTGATGACCTACTCTAGCTGATAAAATGTCAGGGATTATCTCCTCAAAGCCACTACTATATCAACATTTCCCCTCCTTCAAAGTTCTTCACTGGTAGGAACCCAAGTTAGGGGTCTCTAACTTATTTTTGAGGCTTATGATTTTTTGTTTCTTCTCTGTGTGACTTAGGTGAGTCTTTATTTTATCGTCATCATATCATCTCCACCACTTGTAAAGCAGGAATACTTAGCTCCCTTGCTTTGAATCAAATACTATTCTAAGTGCTTTATAATTATTAACACATTTACTCTTTGACATCCCTGAGATACAGGAACTACTATTCTCTCCAGCTTACAAATGAGAAAGTAGAGTCCAAGAGGTTAAGTAGGTTGCCCAAAGTCAGCATGGCTGGGAAATTAAGCCATCTGTTGTCACCTTACTGCCCTCTATTGCAGGTTAGATCTGAGCCCAAATGCTTCCTAACTGATGGCTAATTCAGGGGTTCTCAGACTTTAATGACTACAAGAATCATGTGGGAATCTTTTGAAATGCAGTTTCTCATTTAGTAGGTCTGGGATGGAGCCCAAGATTGTGTATTTCTAGCACATTCCCAAGTGACGCTAGTAGTGCTGATCTGAGAATCCTATCTGGAGCAGGAATGTTATCAGTCATGGTCTTGTCAGATCTCAGGGCTCTGGGCTGCACTGTGGCACACGGGCCATGCTATTACTTGTTTAGCACATATGTAAGATGTGCAGGGAATAACATCAAGATGCCTGTGAAGATTTGAGGTGATCATCTGAGTCTTGCTCTGACAATTATTAGTGACATATAGTTGCCCACTAAAATTCCTTGGAATCCTAGGACTTGTCTGAGTTGCTGGACTGTTGTTGTCCTATAAAACCCACTCCCCATCCTCAGAGGAGAGAAGCAGGGCTACCTAATAATTTCAGGCTTTTTCAATTCATTTCACACAGCTGTGCTCAAGAACTTAGGGGACTTAGAAGCCAATGTAAAACTATGCTTCTGCTCCTCTGGGAGACATTTTCACTTGAGAGCTACTGATATAGCCTCAAGTCCTCAAGACAATTACCCAGGAGCTGCTGTTGGCTAACAATTGTGCTTTTGAAGTCTGCACACAAGAGAAAGAAAACATTTGCACAAATACGAGAGCTTTATGAGCCTATGGTAAGACTTAAGGAGATGGAATTATATTTTTTAAAAAATAACTATTCATTGTACTAAGCATTTTGCTACATGATTTCAAATTAAATCTCGTATTTTAATTCTTGCAACTATCTCTGTTTTATAGATGGAAAAAATGAGAGTTTTACATGACTTACCCAAGGTCTCATAGATAATATGAAATAGATCTAGGATTTGGCTGCAAGCCCAGGGTGTTCTCTCCATTATAAAACTTGGATGTTGTATCAGACTACACAGGTCCTAGACAGTCTGAAGGACCTGGACTTACATCCCAGCGCTTGCACGTACTGGCTACATAACTGTGGGTAAATCGCTTACATTTTCTAAGGCTCAATATTTTAAATATTCAAACTGGAGGTAGTAGCTTTCTTTTAGGGTTTTTTTTTTTTTGCAAGTCAAATGAGATCATTTAATCAGATTACCTTTAGGGCAATGAGAATTATGTATGGCATATAATGGGTGCTGGATACATCACATCATTTCAAAGAGAAAAAAAAATCTGACAGGATCAGCAAGATTATCAGAGCCAAGAGGACTTAATAAAACTGTAGGATACCCTAAGAGTCCACACTCCCTTTCCCAGGACCCTATCTTATTTCATAGTTCCCCATACTTTTGTCTTATTACAGATGATGTTATATTAAAATGACTGTTTTATGTGTCTGATTTCTCCTCCAGACTATAAACCCCCTCACATCTTATTCATGTTTGCATCCCCAGTGCTAATAGTTCCTAGAAGGTGTCAAGCATGCAATATATGTGTATTAACAAATTATAGCACAACAGAAGAGAATTTGAATATGAGCAGCACACTGTCCAACAGTACTGATAAGTAAGAGAACTACATCAAGAAAGTCAACATATTCCTCTGGAGTCTGGCTGAGAGGGTAGGACCAATGTTATGTTTATTCATTCCCTTTATTCCATAAATAGTTATTGAATAATAAAGTACCAGGCACAAAGACAAAGCTTATGCTCACAGAGCTCAAAACACTGTTGGAAGCCAAACCCGTGCACAGTGACAATGCAAGAGGATCGTGCTGCAGCAGTGATACAAGGAGAAATGAGAAAAGCAGAAGAGGCAGGTCTAGGAAGGATTAGAGAAGGACGCTGAGCTGAGTCTTGAAAGGTAAGCGGAAACTTCAAGGCAGGGTGTAGGATGAGGCAGGTTAAGAAAAGTGTATCATTGGGGGTGCCTGGCTGGCTCAGTCAGGAGAGCTTATGACTCTTGATCTCAGGGTCATGAGTTCGAGAGCCTAACATTGGGTAGAGAGTTTACGTAAATAAACGGAAAAAAAAAAGAAGAAAAGTGTATCAGTGGAAACAGTGTGCAAGAGAGACAGGAGAGAGCGTAGAGCTTTAGGGAAAAACAGATACTTCAGGATCACTGGGCTCATGAAACTCTCCTCTACAAAATGTGAGCTCCAAAAGAACAAAAATCTTGATCTATCTAATCCATTTTAAGTATTTACATGGTAGATATTCCACAAATAATAGTCCAATGAGATAAATAAATGAGATCAATTAAAATGTTTGATACATACTGCTAAGCTATGGGAAGATCACTGGTCATGTATTGGCTCATGGCAGTTTCATATCTGCCTATTGCTGAAAAGAGAATATATATATATATATATATATATATATTTTTTTTTTTTTTTCAAGTCAAGCAGAAGACTAGATTCAACTTCCAAGTTCTCTGGAGAATGTATTTACATCTACATAAATCACTTAGTCATTTGGTCTCTGCTTGGGCTACTATAAAAAATACCACAGACCAGATGGCTTAAACAACAGGAATGTACTTTTTCACAGTTCTGGAGGCTGAGAAATCCAAGGTCAAGGAACCATTTGGTTCCTGGTGATAGACCTCTTCGTGGCTTGCAGTTGGCTGCCTTCTTGCTGTCACATGGCCCAGAGAGCAAGTTCTGGGGTCTCCTTCTCTTCTTCTGAGGGCACTAATCCCACCAAGGGGGCCCTAGCCCCATGACCTCATCGAAATCTGATTACATCCCAAAGGCCTCTCCTCATAATACCATCACACTGGGGGTTAGGGCTTTGACATGTGAATCTGGAGGGGCCCACAACAGGTCCTTCATCTTCTTGCCTAATGGAGATACTTTATCCCCCCTCTTTATACGTATGACTAAATTTTATACATCATATCTCATTCCAGATACCACGTCTTAGGGATAAAAATAGCATCACAATGGCCATAACAATGTCATTCTATGACTCTGTCCTTCTTATTTCCCATTTCTTGAAGGAGTTCCCTCAGATTTCTCCCCCATCTAAGATGCGCCCATTAACTAGCTCACATGTGCTTGCAGACTCTTTCTTTCTATACCGCATGCTATTTGCTATCACCACCTTATCCCCATCTCCTGTGCAGTGCCATGTCTTCTGCGGCTGCTGTTACCGAAGGCATTGATGGTCCTACCAAAAACAGTAATGCCATCGGGGTGGTCACGCTTGCCAAAGGCACAACTGCTTCTGCCAGTACCAGGAAAGTAAGAGCATCAAGGAGAGAGGCCTGTTCTTGCCTCCTCTTCAGTCAGAGTGAGGGTGCCTCTCGGCTGTTCAGGCACCTCTGGACGCCTTCCCCGCTCACACAGTAACCCCAGAGCCGCCCTCTGCCACCCAGGCTGCAAAGCCAGGCTGACCTGAGCTCTGGCTACCACAGCAGACAGCCAGGAAACAGCTCTTCTGCTTTTCACTCACACTTTCTGGAAATCTTTTTCCAAGAGACAGGGGCATGCGTCCACTGGTGCTGAGTATTAAGCACCTCTCTCTTCAACACTGATCTGTTGAGTTTGGGTCCATGTTGTGTTTCTAACCCATTTTTCCCACTGGAGGAGACTCATTTACCCTCCTGAGTCCACCAGATGGTGGCTGAATCCTGGTGCAAACTCAACTTAGGCTCAAGTAGGGATTCCTGCGCTCTTTCTCTACTCCATCATACTGGACAAATAGTCAATCCTTGATCAAACTTTTCAAATTAAAAACTGGCGGCATAGAGATGCATGGTTTTTACGTGCTATAGAAAAGAAAAAGGGCTCCTAAAAACACTCCATGTTCCAGTTCTACTGCAAGCAGGCTGGTTGCCTAAGCCTCGTTCAATACTGCGTCCAGATATAGTCAGTCATCTATAAGTACAACCTGAAAAAGCAGCCATTTTAAGGCTTCCCGTGAAACAAGAAAAATACATCTTACCTGTGGAGGGGGCGGGCCCCAGGACGTCACAGTAGGCCATGATCTCAAAGGAATGCCTGTGAAGACCTTCCGTACATATAAAATTGAATCTTAAAGACAAGGGTGCTCTCTTTCCCATTAGGATCCTTAAAAAAGGAACATGACATGTCATGAGAAATAATAGAGAAAGAAGGAAACACAAGATGATGTTCAATCGTCCTTCCCCTTACTCTAGCCCTGCTACTCCCTTGGATATTTCTTGAACGTTCCAGAAATGGTCCCTCCTCAGGGTCTTTGCAATTGCTGTTCCTATACCTAGAAGGTATACCTCATCGAAGATGATCCATGTGGCTCCAGTCCTGGCTTTATTCAGGTGTCTGCTGCACCAGTTGGCCCTTCCTGGCCACCCTTTAAAACAAGAACTCCCTCCCTGTTCCCTGCCCCCTTCCCCTGCTTTATGTTTCTTCATAGCATTTAGTTACCACTTGGCATTATATTATTTGCTTATTTCTCTCACTATGGGGTGTTAGTTGAACAAAGGCAGGAGCTGTGTATGTTTTGTTCACTGCCCTGTCCCTAGTATCTGGCACATAGTAGGTGATTAACAAGTAACTATTAAACGAATTATCATCTGCATATGGATTGGGGCACTAGATATTATTAATCATGAATATGATGAAGTAAAATATTTTAAAAGAAATCAGACTTCTACTTCTGGATATAATGGAGTAGTTTAGAGAAGACTGGTGCTCATTAAGAACAACCAGAAGATTAGATTTTAAAAACCATGCGTAAGCATATTTGAGAGGCACCAGGGATTTGATGAAGCTGGAGAGGCTGAAGTCCCGTGAGGGTGGGGACAGCAGAGCATGGAGAGGTGGACAGATACTCTGCTGCTTTCTTTCTGGGGACATAACACTGACCTGGGGAATAGACAAGAGACTGAAAACATGGATTTTATTTGGGCAAAGAGAGGCTGCTGGGATTGAAGAAACCAGCAGAACCCTGCCGAGCTCATGGGGCTGACACAATGTTAAGAGACTTGGAGGCCACAATCCTGATGAAAAGGGAAGGGTGGAGAGTTGAACCTGAAATATGACCTCTTCCCTCCAAACATCTGCTGAATTCTGAAGATGCTTGAGACAAGTATGGTTAAAGAAACAAAGCAGGACCTCTTGAAGAACTGAATGGGATTGTTGACAGTCTTGCCTTGCCGGGGTTAGACAACATGGATTAGGGTTCAGTCTCAAGGGCTGAGGAGACAAGGACTAGGGAGAAGTCCCTGGTGACATACTAGGTTGTAACAATGGTCCATCAACTTGGCCACACATTAGAAGCACCTGGGGATCCTTAAAAAAAAACCAATGCTCTCACCTTCACACATGTTTTTTTAATGGGTATGAAGAGTGACGTGGGTAATCAGCTCTCACTCTATCCATCTGGTGAAGAAAGAAAGCGTAAACCCTCTTTGGAAAAAGAACATCGGCTAAAGCATCTAAGATTTTTTATGCATGGTGTCCTGGCTTTAATCTTTAAAAATCACCAGAAATTCCAAGAGACAGGGCTATGGGAGACATGGCCATAGGTATGTGAAGCTTACTCGTGTGGATACCAGAGAGTTTGAATGAATTATTAGATCTACTGAGGAGTTCAGAGTTCTGGAATGGGTCAAGGTTAATGAGGATGTCAGTACTATCTTAGGCTACCCTGCATACACCTTATAGTCCAAGGAGTATCCCAAAAGATTTTTGCTAATATTAGTAGAAATGAGGCATGGGTCATAGCAGTGCCTGCCCATGAGCCCTCAGGTGATATTATTTGCCACTTCCTGTTCTTGTCAGCCCAGTCCCTGAACACGTCTTGTCTTGTCCATGTCTTATTAGGACAAATACCACGTCCTGTGATGTGGCTCTAAAAGCCTTAAGATGCTCTGCCTGGATAATACAACGAAACAGAGAGTCCTGTTTTCAAGACCTCTAAATCAAAGCAATAAGAGATAAAGAGGAGAAGTCCCCATTATAACCATAACCATTAGAAGCATGACACATATTTTATAGCCGTGTCTCCTTAAAATCTGAGAGTAAGTTTTCCTATTGTGGTTTTTTAATAATAAACACACTGATGTGTAAAGAGAGGAGTACAGTTCCTCTGGCTTGTAAATGATTTCCAGTACCTTGGGCTTATTGGGCAAGTCTCCTGAGATTTCATTCACAAGCAGGGCCCAGCAAATGACTGACACAGAAGAGTTGTTGTTACCAGTAAGTTAAGGCATACGCTAGTTTCAAAGGAAAAGTGCTGTTTTTTTTTTTTCTCACACCCATCTCTCAAGATAGAGTAACTGAATAGCTTTAAAAATAACTGCAACAAACAATATATCACCAAAAACCAGGCATCAACTGAAACAAACTCTACTCTCTCAGTGGGTGGGAGTCAAAACCAACTGTCAGACACACGTATCTGCTTCTTTTCCTGTTTAATTTAATTTTCCCTTCAGATGAATTGTGGTATGGTCTTGGTTGCTCTGAGTAGTGCAGAAGAAAGCCCAAAAACGCCTGCTGTGTACAGATCTCAGCACAGGACAACACCTTGGACAACCTGCCTCCTTCCCTGCCTTCTTGTTCCTTCCTCAGTTTGCCTCAAAGCCCCATTCCTCAGCAAATACGCTCCTTTTCAGCCACCGGAACCATTCAGCAAAACAAAGTGTAGGATAAAATAGATCCTGGGCTGAATTAAAACAATTAGTCCCTGGAAAAATCACTCGGGGGAAGAGAAAATGAATAGGCATTTAACAGGTAAAGGAAAGACGGTGGTTACCTGGGAATTCGGTTCAACTTTAAAGGGTTTCAATTAAATTATTTAATGAGTTGAAAGAATAGAAGGACCACAGATGAGAAAATGAGTTTGCTTGGTTTTAGTGAGGAACAATTAGAGCAAATGAACCAAGGTTTTCAGGGCTGTTATTTTTCATGGGTTTTACTTCAAAACTCATTCTGGAAATCCTTCAAGGACTGTTTTTCTCCAGGAGGAAGGGCACCTGAGATATGGAGGAGGGGAGAAAGCTTTAGGGAGAGTGCGTCCATAAGGTTCTTTGAAGTTGGGTGGGCAAGGAGTATAGAAAAAGGACCTAACAATGAAAACCAAATATTTTGATTCCAAATAAGGTCACCATGGGAAGGGTATAGCTTAACTCGTATTTTTAATGTGTCTTTAGAGTACATTAACATTCTGTTTTGATAAATAATAATAACAATGGTGTAATGTACCCTACAGTTTACAAATTTAATGGGGAAAACTTGGAAGAAGCAATGGATAAATGGAAAACACATTCTCCCCTTTCTCCTTTTTGTTTTCTTTTGTCTTAAAGGTGGTCTTTCTCCATCCAAAATGTAATCGTATGTGAAACTCCATCATTTCCCTTTCTGCCTTTCCAACCCAATGGACTTCATTATAGTCACCATGATGCCATTCATCTGACGTCTTTTGCTAACTACCACAATTTAGTAGGTGTTTGGTATTCCTGAAGGTAGTGTTCTTCAATAAAAGACACATTCAAGCTACTTCTCTATACTCAGTGGAAGCAAGGGCTTCGTAATGAATCTATTATTTAAATTAAGAAACAGTCCTAGGGCCCTGTTTTAAAACATTGATCTTATTTTCACATTTAAGTGGCACCTAGTTTGGTCTATTTTTCTCAGTAAAAAATGTTTTCTTCATTTTACAACACAGATATTTGCATTTTTCTTCATCCACAATTCACTAGACTGAAAAAAATAACAGGACATGTAAAAATGAAATAGAAAAATAAATAACATGTAAAGGCTTTTTCATTTCTTTCTTTTTCTCTTTTTGGAACTTACCAAAACACACACACACACACACACACACACACACACACACACACACACAACCCAGGCCTGATTAGTTCAACATTTGGAGCAAAGAGGAGACATTGTGTGTAATGTCAGCAAAGCCACCTCAGCAAGAGACCCCGGGATACCGCTGAAGGGAATGTTTATCAGACAAATGTGTCTCAAAGATTCTTGGTACTTGGAGGCACCTTTCCCACCCCTTCCTGTTTGCATTCCTCAGAGTCAGATTTCAGCTAAGGGGATGGAAATTAAATAAAGGTGCATTGGAGAAGACATAATTAGTCCTTAAATCACAGGCTCTCAAATTCATGAACTTTCATTGAAAGTGTAGCTAGAAGTCTTTAAAAAAATGCCTCTGGGGCAATCTCTCCGTTTCCTCCCAAGAATTTAATGTTAGTGTACACAAATAATTATTACTCAATAATGCCCTTTTGTGACAAGCTAAGAGTTTCCCTTAGCTGACTTTTCCACCTGTGGAATAAAAGAATTCACAGTAACACCTTCATCCAGACCTGTTTCCATGAGAAGTTTGCTTCAAGTTTTCTCTCAGAGCATCCAACCCTTCTCTCAGTTGTTTCTTGCAATGGTTCACATTAGCAAACACATCACTGAACAACACGATGTCAATCTCAGAGCATCCTTGGGTATCAGTCCCCTTTACATAAGAACCACCCTGTGAGACAAAGGATATAACGTGGGTAAAACCAAACTAACCTTGAGGGAAGAATGGATTTCAAGTCATAGCATTTTAGGGTCAATTAACATTGTGGAATAGCTTAAATATGTGAGTTGAACTCCCTGGTCCAACTTGACAGAAAAAAGAAAAAGACGGGAGAAAGAGAAAGTAATCTATCATGATCTACTGAGAACTGAGCCTCGCCTATGAAAAAGAAAGTATACTCTGCACAAAAAGCCTGAAAATCCTTGTGAAGATTTACAGCCACAAGTTCTCAGACTCTTTCTGCTTAGAAGCCACTGGCCTGGAAGGAATCTACAGGGACAGGAATCAAATTCACCACTGTACAGCCCAAAGCTCACCATGGCAGTCCTCAGTGAACACCCAGACAGGCGGCTCCAGCCCTAAGTGCCCTAACACACACCCGACCCATGAGAGTCCAAACCAGAAGTGACTGCCCTTCCTGGTGGATGTCATTTGCTATGCTTCTAAATAGATCTCGAATGATTTTCCATAAAGTGTTCTGTAATTATAGTTAATGAGAATTTACTTCAGATCTCTTGCTAAATGTAATTTTATAAAAGTCAAAACGTTAAGTAATCAACAGCACACCGTTGCCTTCTTTAGCACTCAAGGAGAACTTTAGGTTGCCAGTTCCTGAAAGAATCTCTTTGTCAACGACACACAGTGACAATGCTTTTTCACGACAATACAAAGCATTCCAAAGCTTGGCTCCAAAGTCGTTCTGTATCTGCTAGTCGTAAGGACTAGCTCAGATGGGTGCCCCGTGCCACATTGTCTCTCCCCGACCCTAACTCCGTTCTTAACACAGTTCTCACTAGTGCAACTCATTTATGAAAACTGTTCCCCATTAGAAATCATAGTGACAAGGGAATATGAGAAATGGAGTTTTTAGCAGCCTTAACCTGAGAGTTCTCAATATACTAATGTGTACTGTCAATCTCCAAGAATGGAATAAAGGGCACAACAATTCTGCTACTTAATCCATCAGTGGCCCTTGTTTTGAGCAAGCACCATGCAGGACCCGAATCAAACACTGGCCTCCGATTTCCAGCTCTGTGCCCACACCTTACTCTATAGAAGAATATACATTGTTTCATAGTCAGGGTTTTGCCATAGGTATCTTAAAGAAGAATTTAATCACACTCATAAATCATATTTGCTATTGAGTTACATTAAAAAAATCACTTTTGCTTTTATATAAATGTATGGCTTAAAGACGATTTGATAACGATTATATGTGCATTTGGGGGGCATCTTTTAAAATTCTTTATTTTTTTAAGTAATGTCTACACCTTTTGTGGGCTCAGACTCACGACCCCGAGATTAAGAGTCTCCTACTCCAACTACTGAGCCAGCCAGGCACCCCTATGTGTGCATTTTTAAATGAAGGAGTAGAAAAATTATCGTGAATAAAAGGCCCTCAGAACTACCCTATATTTTTTCTCTAAACACTGATTCGAGAGTATGCACTGATGGTACTAATGTTACCAATAATAATAACAATAGGGAGGAAACCATACCATCCCTGTTATTGGGATCCCTTTCCTGTTTTCAGGCCATTTTTCTTCAAGGAAATTTTCCGTGCTCTGCGGACAGCCATTCCTGGACACACGGAGTTGTCTTTAAGTTGACAGGGAGCCCATCAGCGCAGCACCTAATTACTTCCACAGGCAGACTGCTCGGCCATGAAGCAGGGCCCTGGGGGACAGGCTCAGCTCCTTTGCCTGAAAGCCCCTTAAGCATTTACAAATATCAGTCAAGTGTGAGCCAGTTCCTTGGCCCTGCCAATGTAAAGGCACTTTCATCCCTTGGGCAAAAACTGCCAACCTTAATGGGCTCCAGCTGTCGCATGGTTGAGGGCCTGCTCCACCAGCCTGAAGCCTACCCTGGCATTTCAAAGGGCTCCTTGCAGGCCGTGTCACCCCATGCAGGAGGCAACACTGGCCTTTGAACATGTGCCCTTGCCCAGTTGATGTGCATTACCTCCAGGAGAGAAGAATGGCTTCCGTAGGGCTGTGTGGCCTGGCCAGAGGGCCAGGGGCTCAGATTACCTGGATCACTCGGGTGGCCGGCACCGGAAAGCAAGCCTGGATCCGCATGAGCAGGGCCCCGATCTCAGCCACACAGGCAGCGCTCAGAAGACCTGAGGCTGGGCGGATATTTTCATCTGCAAATCTCTGTAGCTCTTGCGGACTCTGACACTCCAACATATTATGAGGTGAAAATCCTATAGACATTTGGGCTACATAGAGAAATAATCAGTATTTGATATTCACTGCACAGAAATAGATGTGTGGCTAAGGCAAGAATCTAATTTTATATGCAAATTACATCTAGTTAATCACCAGGACTACCTAGTTGTAAGTCCCTCTAGACTTAGCTGACATTTAACCCTAGGTCTCTAGAGAGATAGGGCTGAATTTCTTAGGAAAAAATATACCGCCGGTCTTATGTGAGGAAAAAGAAACCTTTGCTCCAATTGACTAAATCACTTTAAGTTTCTAAATGAAAAACATATATGTTAACAAGTTTCAACAGAATGATCCCAGGGTACAGAATTCCAAGTTAAACCATCTATTAAAAGTCTGAAATTGTCAGCCTACAGGCCATATTCTGCCCACAAAATGTTTGGTTTGGCCTGCAGGGTGTTTTCAGAAAAGGAAAAACTGAGCCAACATCTAGAAATCAGGAGATAGTACATTATTTTTAAAGAGGGACATCATAGGTGTGTGTTTGTTTTGAGCCAGAAGAGCTGACAAGACTGACCCCACCCTTCACAAGAAGGAAGTGAATAACTGAGTAACTAGGTTCAGTGAAAGGGGCATGTGAACTAAACCGACAATAGATAGATTCACAGGAGAAGAGGCATACACATTTTACCGATGTTAACATTTTTTTTAATATGAACAGGGTTCTTTACAGAAAAGAAATGAAAACTCAAAGTAGCAGTGAGACCTGGGGGCTTGTATGCCACTTATACAAAGTACAATAAATTGTGGACAAGTGACTAGACAAAGGGAAGGGAGTTTGGGGCTTCTAAGGGCAATAAATTGTTGGAAAGTGACTAGGAAATATAGAGGGGAAACTAATGGAAGGTAAAAGTTATTAAGGTTTGTTTATAAAGATTCATGTGCCATCTCTAGGTCTCCAGTGATAAAGGCTACTCTCCTGGTTCCAGTACAGGGGAGAGGGAGAATTGCTGGCTTGCTTTTAGGCAGGGAGAGCAGAGTGTTTCACTTATTGTGTCCCAACTGCCTCACCTCCAAATAATACACCAAATTGGCATAATTTGGGGTGGCACATGCTGAGCCCCTCCAACAGCAAAGAAACTTTCATAATTTCTGCACTGGATGGACTAGGGGAAAAAAAATCCCTGAGTATCTGCAATCACAAGGTGGCCCTCATTCAGTTTTATACAACTAATTCATATTAGCACTGAGAATTAATATTAGATTAGCCTCTGGCCAGAGGAGAGCTCAAGTGCCTTAAAGAATTCACTAATACTCTCTGGGAATGAACTTTTGACTGGACTTTCCTCCTCAAGCATGTAAGGAACATTCACAAGAATTGAATATATATACTCAGCTACCGATAAAACTCAGCACATGCCAGAGAACTAATATCCCACAGATTACATTCTCTGGCCACTGTGCAATTAAATGAGAAGTCAGTAACAAAATAACTAAAAATACTCCATACTTTACTCTGAAAAACAAACTGAGGGTTCTAGAGGGGAGGGGGTAGGGGGATGGGTTAGCCTGGTGATGGGTATTGAGGAGGGCACGTTCTGCATGGAGCACTGGGTGTTATGAACAAACAATGAATCATGGAACACTGCACCAAAAACTAATGATGTAATATATGGTGATTAACATAACAATAAAAAATTAAAAAAAAATACTCCATACTTTAACAAATTTTAAGAACCACAGACTTTAAATAAACCACCAATCACAGAAGAAATCATAATGGAAATCAGAACAGACTGAGAACTAATCAGTAACACAAAACTTTGTATCAACGCTCAAGGGATACAGAGCCCCTAGTGTAAGCTTTATCAACTAAGCCAAGTTAACAGATAGTTGGTTTTTTTTTTCTTTTGACATTTTTATTCTTTTGCTTGAAACATAACATCCAATTTATATACTACTCTCTTTAGGGAAAGTTCATCAAAAAAATGATTACTTTTCAGTGACATCTCTGTATCCAGAATCAATTATTACTTCCTGGAAAAATTTTTATTTTTTAGAAGACTTTCATAGAACAGCGGTCACCAGTTAGCTTAGAGGACAGAGCACACATAGGAGAGCATAGATCTTAGTTTTGTGGTTATTTTTGATATGGACAGACCATAACCTGACTCCCACTTGAATTCCTGACACGGTTCCACTTTTGACTGCAAGCCCATAGAATTGTGCTGTATTGTCTCTGTGAATGATACCTTGGTTTCCCAGCTTCTTCCTCAAATTTGGCTTTGCAAAATTATTCTCCGTCCCTGCCACCCCAAGAGCGTGTAGTTCCAAGCTGCATCCTGGTTCCATCCTCTCCATTCTCTATTTCCTGTTCCCAGAAGCAAGCCCTAAAGCCTTGCGCTGAGGGAAAACCAAAATCTGGTTTCTATGTTGCATAAATATGCACAGAGGGGAAGAGCCAGGCATCCTGTTTACCTCTCTTACTGACTGTGAAGGAATGCTCTTGTATTTCATGGTTCTCCCGACTAAGGACTGTTCCAAAGCGCCTTGAACACATCCTACAGGTTTTTGATATTTCTGTAGCCATATGCCTTATATTCCTTTCTTCTAGATTTTCCCAGCTGAGCTTGTGTGTCTCCATGGTTGCCCTCTCCTGTACAGACTGAGAAAAGTAAACATATAACATAGGAATTACAAGAGCTATTTGAAAGTTCTCCTCATCTTCATTTGGCTTCTCACTAAATGCTCCCAATCATGAGCAGAGGGATTCTCATTCTGTTTCCAAAACACAGCAAAGCCCATTCGTTCTTTGGATATAGATAGAACACTGCGGTAGGTTCATAAATGAACCATGAGAACCATGGTGCTGGAAAAAAGACACATTTTTTTTTTTTTAATGGGGATGGGTTAGCCCGGTGATGGGTATTAAAGAGGGCACGTACTGCATGGAGCACTGGGTGTTATATGTAAACAATGAATCATGGAACACTACATCAAAAAATAAATAAAGAAATAAATAAAAAGCACTAGGTTTTGTTTTATAAAATCAGAAGAATGACATCCTGGCTCTTTTTCTGACGTTTACTATTTGGAAGCTTTGGGCAAATCATTTCACCTAACTGGGTCTCTGCTCCCTCATGTGTGAAAGGGGGAGGAGGAGGGAGGGAGGTACATTCAGGTAGCTCTAAGGTTACATTGAAAGTAAAAATTCTGGGGCTGTGAGACTCCTATCACGTCACAAGCATTTGGGAATAATGATTATGACCACAGCAGCTGCTCTGGGTGCAACACTTGCACCCCGTGAAATCTGCCGAGCCTCACCAAGGAACGGCAGCCCCGGGAGGGGGACCCTTGCTAGCGGGCTCCCAGACACAGTCATGTGCTTCCCTGCTGCGTCCCACCACCTGGCCTATGGCCAGGTTCTGATATTTAGTCTCCTGTCCATAAATCTCCATTAGGGGAATGAAAAACCAAATAAAAAGCAGGGGTGTTTTCCCCACTTGTACCTCACTGTGATCGTGCAGTCTCTCCCTCAGGACTTCGTGGCCACATTCTTCGCAGTGAACTTTTCCAAAATGCTTCTGTCGAAGGTGATACCTCAGAGCCTTGCAGCTGACAAAATCTCTCCCACAGCACTCACATTTATAGCATTTCAGAGCCCACATCCTTTCCCAATGAAGTATTAGATGTAGATCCTACTGATGACAAAAACAAAAAGCATAAGCCCTTTGAAGAAAATCTAGCCCCTCACAGTTCACTAGAACAGAGATGTTACTTCTAGTGTGCTAATTTGGGCTTGGTCCCATGAATGTCTTCTAAGAAATTTCTCCCTCACTAAAATCAAACACAGTACCTTATTTAGATGAGCTGTTTGTAAACTTGGGCTTATAAACAGTAAGGAGGCTGTAACATCAGTAAAACCCAATGCAAAATCATGTCTAGGTATATATGCACATTCTTCTAGAAAGGATTTCAAGTGAATCTGTGGCCCAAAAGACGTTAGTAGCTGCTGCTTTAGTTATAATCTTTACTCAAGGACTCTCCAAGAGCCATTGTCTCTTCAATTTTTACCACCCCACGAACTCCCATATTTGAGAAAGTTATCATGAGTAATGATTTATACATGTCTTTTTAATCACTCCCTGGATTTCTAAAAGTAGTTAAAAACAAATAAAAAGCAGGGTGGGGGGATGGGTTAGCCTGGTTAAAAAAAAAAAAAAAGATAAAAAGCAAAAGTTTGTACCAAGAGACACAGTCAGGAAGATGTTGGTGATTCCAGTCTCCAGCGGGCTGCCCGTGAAACTGTTTGTTTTTCTGGTTGCCAAGCAACTCTGCTTGGCGTTTGTAAAGCTAGTCCTGAAGCTTAGAGCTCCTTCCTCAGCGGTTAGAATTCTGGGATTTATAGTTACCAGTGTCTTAGCAATTGATTAGATCCAACTTTTCTTATTTTTGTAAAGATTTGCTTATTTATTTTAGAGAAGCAGGGGGAGGGATAGAGAGAGGAGACAAAGAGTCTCAAGCAGACTTCCCTCTGAGCATGGAGCCCAACACAGGGCTTGATCCCAGGACCCTGAGATCAGGACCTGAGCCAAAATCAAGCATCGGCTACTCAACTGACTGAGCCACCCAGGCACCCCAAGATGCAACTTTTCTAACAGTACTCATAAATTATTTTGCATTTGCTACTGTAATAAATTAATACAAACATCAGTGGCTTAAACACACAAAATTATTATCTGACAGTTCTGTAGGCCAGAAGTCTGAAAGAGGTCTCACAGGCTAAAATCTAAGCATTGGCAAGGCTGAGTTCCTTTCTGTAGGCTCTGGGTAAGAGCCACTCGCTTGCTTTTTTCTCAGCTTCTAGAGTCAACCCACATTCCTTGGCTGGTGGCTCCCTTTCTCCATCTTCAAATGCAGCAAAAGTGAGTGGAGTCCTGCTCACATCGCATCGTTCTGATCTATCTCCCTTTTCCACTTTTAAGGACCCTTGCCACTCCATTGGGCCCAACCAGATAACCCGGGATAGTATCCCAATTTTAACGTCAGCTACTTAAGGCTACCTGCAAATTTAATTCTCCTTTGCCATATAAGGTAACAAAGTAAAAACTTCCTAAGATTAGGACCTGGACCTTTGGGGGACCATTTTGTGCCTACTACATTGTAGTTCTGAACTTCAATCAGAAGCAGAAATGAATCCAAAATGTATCTGTATAAAATGAAAGAGAGGCAGACTGATTCCCCTCCTTGCAAAAACGCCCGGGCTTAAATGGTTTTGGAGTCTTTGTCCCACAAATTGAGAGTTGCCGAGTATGTGTACTTCTCACTGAGGTTCGGTACAGCTCACCAACTACAGGTCCTATCACATTAGAAGATGTGAAAACAATTTAGTGGGTTGTGACTCATGCTTAAAAAAAAATCAAATAAGACAAAACTAGAGAATACTGAACATACTGAAGGTAAATAGTGATTTGTGAAACACTTGTTATAGCTAAACATATGCTTATTTGTACTGGGTTGCAGGGTGAAAAGCATTTTAAAAAATTGCAATTATACTACTTAGTTCATTTCATATCTTCTCGGTGAGCAGAAGTTCCATCTCTTGTTTTATTTCCCTTAATCCCCCATCCTCCACTTTCATTTACCTCCTTGTCGCCCAATAGGCAACCATTATAATGTGTTAAATGTGTTATCTTGTTTTGTTATATATATGTTTTTGTAAAATATTCCTTACTCTGGGTTCATGTTTTTTATAATTTACATAAAATGAAACTAAAAAGATACTATCTATACTCTGGTCCATTGCTTTCATTGCTACAGAGTAATCCATGGTGATATCTACCATATTTGCTGTATATCTTTCTCAGGGTAGAAGTAAAAATGTCTGAAAGCCACTGGTCTAGTGAGAACACCCAGGATTCATTGGAGACCTTTTAGAGTAACACTGGAAGTATTCTTCATCCAAGTTACATGTCTAAAATGTCTGTTTAGTCTTCCTGTTCCCAGCCGTTATGATCTATGGATGTCACTGTTCCCAAACTTGGTCCCGCAGGAGGACACAAATTGACACATACCATAAACAGGAGAGTCCTTTATGCACTGATGCAGAGAGTTGTGGGATTTTTAAACTGAAACACTCTCTTGCTGCCCTCTCCCCTTGCCCTCCATCATTTTAATGGACAAGTATTTTAAGGATAGTTTGGTTGCAAGGAATAGAGACCCACTGAACATAAAATGGAATTTATCGAAAGGGTTTCAGGGATCTTGGAAAATCCAAGAGCGGGAAGTAAACCCAGACCTCAAGACCATCTATGTCCTTACCAAATTGCCTAAAACAAGGTGAAAGTTCAATAAACTTTGGTCCAGTAAATGGATGAACAGGTGGGTAGAGGAAGGAACTGGAAAATATTCAGGAGAAGAGACAGGAGCTCCCACTGATTCTAGGTTTGGCTCTGTAGTTCTGCATCTCTGCTTACATATGTCTGCTTCCTTTGTCTTCTTCTACATGAATATGTACACTTGCTCCACAGTGGCACCCTTGTAGGGTGACAAGCTACCCAGTTTGCCTGGAACTGTGGGGGTTCTTGTGATGCAAGACGTTCAGTCTTAAAACCAGGAAAGTTCAGGCAGGCAAACCAGAAGGAGTTGGTCACCCTACCATTGCATCAGAGTATGCCTTAAAAATCAGCTTCATAAATCCAGCCAATCCCTGTGAATTGATGGATTGAGTTCCTCCAAGCCCCAGTGTTGTGAATTTTGGAGAACTTGATTGGATCTACCCAAACTGTGATTCATTTCCCCTACACCAGGTGTTCATTCCTGGGCCAATCAATCTTGACAGCTACAGTGAAGGGGGTAGGCAGATATATAACTCTTCCATAAGCCTATGGACCAACTTGGCCAAGAAAGGGTGTTGAGGCAATGCTGGGCATTTGTAGTTCACAGATAGGACCTAGTACATCACTCAGATTCCCAGCATAAACTCTCCATCCAGGATCAGAAGAATGAAAGAATGGTAACAGTGGAATTATTAGACTTTCTCAATGAGATCTCTCTCCTCCCACCTTTCACTTAGTGTAATGTTTCCAAGATTCATCCATGTTGTAGCATGTAACATTACTTCATTCATTTTTATTCTGATGAGTAAAAAAACTACTCTGTTGAATGGATATACCACTTTTCTTATTAATCCATGCATTAATTAGTAGGCAATTTGGGTTGTTTCTGCTTTTAGCTAATATGAATAATGCAGTGTTAAACATCCACACATACATCTACAAATTTTTGTAGAAACATTGTTTTGAATTCTTGGGTATCTGAATGTAGGACTTACAGTAACTCTATCTTTAACCCTTTGAGGAAGAGCCAAACTGATCTCCACATTTTACATTCCCACCAACCAGTGTATGAGGGTTTCAATTTCTCTATATCCTCACCAACACTTATTATTTTCCAGTTTTAAATTATAACTATCCTCATAAGTGAGAAGTGGATCTCATGAGTTTTGATTTGCATTTCTTGATGAATAATGATGTTGAGTATCTTTTCATTTGCTTGCTGACTATTTGTGTATCTTCTTTGGAGAAATGTTTATTCAGATCCTTTACCTATTTTTTAAGTGGGTTGTCTTTTATTGTTAAATTATATGAATACTTTATATATTCTGGATACCAAACTCTCATCAGATAGATTATTTGAAAATATTTTGTGCCATTCTGTGGTGTATCCGTTCACTTTATTTTCTTTTTCTTTTTTTTTTTAAGATTTTATTTTTCAGAGAGAGACAGAGAGAGCACAAGCAGGGGGAGCGGCAGGCAGAGGGAGAAGCAGACTCCCCAGTAAGCAGGGAGCCTGATGTGGGGTTCCATCCCAGGACCCCAGGATCATTACCTGAGCCGAAGGCAGACACTTAACCAACTGAGCCACCTAGGTGTCCCTCATTTTCTTGATAGTGTCTTTTGATGCACAAAAGTTTTTAATTCTAATGACCTTGGATCCATTTCACTTTTGTTACCTGTGCTTTTGGTGTCGTATCTTAAAAATCATTTCCTAACTGAAGGCCATGAAGATTTACAACTGTTTTTCTTCTAAGAGTTTAATAGTTTTAGCCCTTACATTTAGGCCTTTGATCCATTTTGATTAATTGTTGATTTTTGTATATGATATGAGGTAGTGGTTCAAATTCATTCTTTTATATGTGGATATCTAGTTGTTCCAGCACCATTTGTTGAAGAGATTGTTTTTTCCCCATTACATTATCTTGGTACTCTTGTCAAAAATCTATTGACCAGGGGTGCCTGGCTGGCTCAGTCTCTGGGGCATGCAACTCTTGATCTCAAGGTTCTGAATTTGAGCCCCACAGTAAGTACAGAGATTACTTTAAAAAATAAATCTTTAAATAAAAAAAAAAAATCAATTGTCCATAGCTGTATGGGTTTAGTTCTGGACTTTCAATTCTATTCCATTGATCTATATGTCTGTCCTTATTACTCTACTACACTGTCTTGACTACTGTAGTTTCATAATAGGTTTTGAAATTGTGTAACGTGAGTCCTCCAACTTTGTTCTCCTCTCAGCATTGTTACTGCTATTCTGGCTGCCTTGAGGTTTCATGGAATTTTTGGACCTGGTCATTAATTCCTACAAAGAAACCGGCTGGAATTCTGATAGAAATTGTGTTAAATC